GACACTAACACACCGGCATAACTGAAAGAAAAACACTGACGTCAAGACAAACTGCATAGAACACAGGAAAAAACATATAAATCAAGAAACATAGATTAAAAACTAGAATAAAACTCAACTACATCCTAACTAATCCTAAGGACGGCACGGTAGCACGGTGGTTAGCTGCACCACCGTGCTGCACAGCACGAAGGTCCTGAGTTCGATTCCACCATCAGGCCCGGGGTCTTTCTGTGTGGAGTTTGCATGTTCTACCCGTGTTTGCATGGGTTCTCTCTGGGTACTCCGGCTTCCTCCCACCGTCCAAAGACATGCATCTTGTGTGGACAGGTTACTTGGATAATCCAAATTGCCCATAGGTGTGAATGTGAGTGCGATTGGTGTCCTTGTGTGTTGGCCCTGCGACAGACTGGCAACCTGTCCAAGGTGTACCCTGCCTCTCGCCCTATGACAGCTGGGATAGGCTCCAGCACCCCCCGCGACCCTGAAAAAGGATAAGCGGGAATGGATGGATAAATCCTAACTAATAACACAACACACAACAACTTAACATAAGAAATCAAAAATACAAAATAAAGTCTGGGTCACAGACCCCTGACAGATCGTTTCAGTCACCTTTCGGTCAAAAGCAGAATGTTCAGAGTCGTTCCTGATTCCTTTTAGAGCATTTGCTCTATATAGCTCTAAAATTTAGTGCTAAGTGTTTTCTTTTTTTTTAAATGATTTGTAATTTTTAAAGAACTGAGGCAACGTGTGCTGCTATTAAAAGGTTTTTATTGATGGTCTAAAAGCATCAAAAGAAAAGGACCTGAAGTTTTAAAAAAAGCAAGCACTGTAGTTAACTCTACTTTTTAAACTGGCTTGTTTGACACAATTCATCCACACACACACAATTTGTCTATGTAAGGTCAGCAGAAGCAGAGAATAGACAGCTATCATTCACTTGTGCTGAGTTGATGATTGTGTCAGATCAGACACACCATCACTCCAAAACCAGTGGACAGTTGTACAGGAATATTTCTAATGCGCTCCTCACAGAAATTAGTGCTCTTTCCAGGATTGTGGTGTCACAGACATGAAAAGATTAAATGGAATATGAGACGAAGACTGATTAGTAAATTAATGTCAGAATGTAAAATTCAAAGTCCTTTTTAAAAATCATTTTGCACATTCATTTATAATTAACTTATTCACAATTCAAATGCAGGAAAATGAAATGGAATCATTAATGTGCAACAACCAAAGCAAACATCCATCCTTCAATGATGTGTGAGAATCTGACTCTGTATTGCAGATGAAGTTCTTGGCATATTTACTAAAATACTCAGAGGGTTTTAGAACAAATTTAAAAAATGTGGGAAAAAAAGTGTGAATAAAGTGTGAAATCAGCATTTAGATGCCTCTCTGTGTGTTTACGAAGAAGAGGGAGAAACCTTTCAACTGTCATGGTCCATTTGACTGGTTATGTTTTTGACTCCTAAGTTTAGAATTCCAGCCACTTCATTAGTTACATCTTGCTAAGACTAGATTGATTTTAATGGTAACAAATGCACTAAAGGGCTCAAAGTGTGCCAGGAAAATCCCCCACACCTTTACACCACCACCAGGTTAAACCTCTAATACAAGACAGCATGGAGCCATGCTTTCATGTTGTTTGTGCCAAATGTTGACTTCAAAATCTCAATTTTGCAGCAGAAATCGACTCATCAGAACAGGCAACATTTTTACAATCTTGTGTTCAGTTATAGTGAGCCAGAGTGCACTGTAGCCTCGGGTTCCTGTTAATAGCTGACAGGTGTGACACCCAGTATTTTTGTTCCTGCTGCTGTAGCCTATCTGCTTCAAGTTGAGTTACTGTTACCTTTTTCATTTTGGTTTTTGTCGTAACGTTAATGATTCGAAACACTGTTGAACCATGTGTGAAATAAATAAAGAAATGAAATGAAATGAATTATTCTTGCTTCCTCAGTTTTTTGTATCTGTAAGTGTCTTGTGTATTGTTTTTTTTGTTTGTTTTGCTTTGTGTCTGTGTGTGTGTGTTGGGGGAGGGGGGGTTGTTATGACTTCCTATTTGTCTGCTTGTCTTGTCATTGTTTTCTACTGTGCCTCATTCCCTATACTATATAGTCTTTTCTTCCATTTATTCTTCCTCTAAATTTTTCTGCAAGCTATTGGATTTCTGTTCTATGCCTCTAACAGTATCTGTCTTTTTAGACTTTTTAAATCACCAAATAAAAGGTCGGCTTTTTGTTTTTCTGTCTACCTCAAATGAATTTGGGTCCAAAACTACACAACATACCAGTGTGGATTTGGTGTTGTAATTATAACGTAATAATAATAATTTGGATTCAAATTTGACCAATTTCTTTTAAATATCAAACTAACTAAATAAACAACTAAAATGCATCAAAGGAAACTCAATAGTAAATATTAGTATCTCTCTAAACTGACTCTCTAAAGTGCTACACTGTAAATATGATGATGATCATAAAGTCCTTTTTGAAATATTTGTTGCCAAATATATAAATGGCAAAGAAATGGCAAAACAAGCAGAACTCAGTCTGTATGATTTTATTGATTTACATCAAAACTGACTGCACCAGAACTCTACAACAGAGTAGAGTTAAACTGGTAAAAAACTAAATGGAGTAAGGTGATGATTGAAGGATCAGACTTAATAACTCGCCATGTTTTGCTCAATCCAGTCATTGAAGATGCAGACGTGTGAAAGGAAACAGATCAATGTTTGTTATTTCACTAGCTGGGCCCAAGTCCTCATTTTAGGTTTGAGAGCGTTTTAGTGGGTAAAAGTGAATGCTTTGACATGAATTGAGCTGCGGTTTGGGGAAGGCCTCGAAGTGGACTGGCGATGGCTCCCGGGCCTAGCAAATCCCCATGTACTGAATAAAAGTGAAGAAGTTAAAGAATGGAGAACAAGGAGGGAGGGACGGTGGAGCACGTAAACGAGAATGATCAGCTTGCAGAACTGGGGAAAGCTATATAAAGTTTGCATAAAGTTTCTTAACCTAGCTTTGAAAAGGTACTGTTTAGGTATTAGGAATAGGTTTAATAGTAGGTTTACTG